TATTTTCTAAAGACAATCCGTTTGTTAAGTTAGTTAGAAGCCACTTAAAGGAAAAGATTTTGGTATCTAGAAATGATTCTTTCACACTAGCTAGTATAATAGAATATCTAGTTTCTCCTGTAGAGAGTAGAAAAATGTATACATGGGGCGGTATTTTTTTTTATCTGAGAATATGCATTCCTCTTGGACTAGCTAGCCATAGTGATGATATTTTGAGTATCTTGCTGACTTTTATAGACCTGGAGAATGTGCTAGAAAAGGATATTTTTATACAAAATGCTAAGCTTTCTGGTGACTTTAAATTTTCAAAGTTCAAATATTTTAGTTCCGTAAGAAGAATCAATCTAGAAAATGTGTCTCTGCACTCAAACACTTTTAAAGACATGGAGTTCCTCAAAGCACTCAAAGATTTAAGATTCTCTCTAAAGACAAAGCTAGAAGGGAATACAGATGTAAAAGTTAATATAGCCAGTTTAGAATCTTTAACAATAACAGAACTCGAGGAAGAAGAGATTAAGCATTTCCTGCGCTCTACAGACGATAAGTGCTGTCCTCCCAGATTATCAGTTAAAAATGTAAATTTATCTGATACTGAAGAATTTTCTAGATTGTCATATCTGTCTTCTCTTATTACATTAAATTTGTGTGAAATAGTGTTTAAAGAAGTGCCTGACTTTACTTTCATCAAGAAAACTAAGGCAATGAAGTATTTAGGAATGCTAGATATATTCTATGGGTATGCCGAGAAGTACGAAGAAAGCTCATTCTCACAAATTAGAAAAAATGTAAACTACTTAAATCAAAGCCAAACTCAAAAAAAGTATGATACATACTCCGAAAAAGAAAAGAAGATTATTGAAGAAAATAGAAAGATAGGAGAGGCCATTAGCATAGAATGGATTGATGTAAATAAGAATCTTTATCACGACTTGGGAATTAGTAATCTCAGAACATATAAAAAAGCTACTATAAACCTTATATTTCCTTTTCTTAAAGGCAATAACTCTACTGATGTAGATTTATATAATATAGGATTCTTTTTAGGCTTTGATCAAGAGCATATAATAATTTCAAGCCGTTTAGACTCTAAAAGGCTGGAAAAGGAATGTATTCCTATTATCAGCGGTTTGGAGCTTCCTTTTAGTTCCTGCATAAGCGTTAAAAACATACATCTACAGTTCTATCACGAAAATGAAGTACCTGAGGAATTTACGAGCATTCTTATGAGATCAACCTATTTATATTCACAATCTAACGAAATTGAAAGGATATATGCTAAGTCAACAAGTAAAGCCAATATAGACATGAATGCTGTCATTGAGTGTGGTAAACATTTTAAAGAACTCATATCAGTAGATATTGAAGATTGCGAACTATCACAAACATCCATCAAAAGCTCAAACAAAATAGGAGTAGACGATACACCTGAGTATGTCGTAAGTAAAGTCAGTCAAGGAACACAAATATATTTCATCACAAATCCTTAAAAAGCGCTGATCTATCGCATTACTACTACTTTACACAAGAGATTCATGCTCATTTTGATATATAAAACTCACCATCCATGAGCCTTGTCCCTATTTAGCCAATTTCTAGCTATATACGCTACAAATAACTGCTAAATTGACCAACTCAGAGTTTAGCAAGCTCCATAAAAAGTTTGCACTTCAATAAATCATCAAGCATCTCTCAGAATAGAATTATAGCCAAGAAAGCTGCTAAAAATAAAATAGACACAATGGCTTTATTTAATTTCTGTTACCAACTAAATTAAAACCCAAGATAAATTTATTAAAATTGTTGTAAATATATAGCCCTCAGCAATAAACTGCAAAATTTTACTGACCAATGAGACAGCTGAAATACCACGAAAAAAAGCTGCTTAGAAAAGTAGACCTGCTTGAGTGGAAAGGAACATCAACCGCCAGAGAACAGACAGCAACACAGAAGTACTGTATAGAGGACAGAGAGACATACACGAGGTACAACATGATTGTAGGAAAAATAAGACGGCTTGCACTCGCACTTGCAAAGCTGAACGACAATGAGCCAATAAAGCAGACGATGACCAGAGAGCTAAGCAACAAGCTGCACAGCGTAGGGCTCATTCCCGCAAAAACTCTCTTGGAGTGCGCGAAGGTGGGCGTGGGCTCATTCTGCAAAAGAAGACTCTCGAGTGTTCTAGCAGATATCAAAATGGTTCCAGACATAAAGACAGGAGTTACCTTCGTAAAAGGAGGGCACGTGAAGGTTGGTGTAGAGACTATAACAGAGCCATCTTTGATCGTAACAAGGCTGATGGAGGACTACATAACATGGAGAGACGGATCAAAAGTAAAAGAAACAATTAGCGAATTTGCAGAAAATAAATAAACCAGAGTGAATTTTTTTTTATGTTTAGATTTGAATATTTACATCTATGTAAGAGTATAAGTATGGGATTTGTGAAAAGATACTTTCTTAAAAAGATAAACCAGAGCTTAGCCGGAAAGACAGAGCCTATTCGCAGCGATAAAATATCGTTCGATATCATCAAGGGTATTTTTGTTATAGAAGATGTGAGCGTGAATTTAGCATTTATTAGCACTCTGCTGGGCATAGACGTAAAAACATTTAAAATAGGCGAGATAATTTTTAGAAGTAATTGGCACAGCACCGACCTATTTACCGAAATAGAAGTAGAAAAAGTGACAGTCGAGCTGGACGGGAATGCCTGCATGTGCAAAAGCTCAGGAAGGTGCTTCCCCTGCAGAAAAAGAACAGAAGATGTAGAGAGAGTGTCTAGGAGCATGGCTTTTATAAAGTATGTGCTGGGTAAGGCATTTGGAAGACTCTCGTCAAGAATAAAGCTGCGAGTTAAAGAGGTTGATTTTTCAGTGCAGCTAGAGAGCACACTGGCAGTTGTTTTGAAGAAGCTGAAAATAGCGAAAGATGAAGAGGTGTACAAAATGAGCATAGAAAACAAAGATATTTCCATTCCGGGTGTGAGCGCAGGGAGTTTTAAAATATGTGTAGATCTCTTATCAAAAACAAAGAAGTGCAGAGTAGACATGCACCAGATAGAAGTAGATCTGGCCAGAATACAGACTGCAGAGATATTGGAGCTGGTCAAAACAGTTAAGTATCTAGCAGGAGTGGAAACAAAGCAGCTAGAGCAAAAACACGCTGCAGGTGAAAAAGAAAAGAAAGACAGAAAAACAGAAAATAATTATGACAGCGCAGAGCACGAAACGTACGAAGACGAACAGAGTATAGGAGCAATTTCAGCAGGTTCTAAAAACACAGAAAGAGCGAGCAGTCCGCTGACCGATGTAAGTGTTGATGCATCTTTCAAACTTCTTGGTGTAGATGGCTTAGAAGACTGTTCCTTCCAAGTAAAAAAGATGAAGATGCAGGTCTATGAGAGCGAGATAAGAGGGACAGTAAGCGCATACTTGAATGAAAATAAAAAAGAAGTTCTGGCGGTTGAAGAGGCTGATTTTGTCATATACGACAAAGACGGAAATAAAGAGGCACAGTCTAGCAAAGAGATAGAGCATACTCAGAAGGTGTACAAACTAGAGATCAAAAACATAGTGGGAAACATTCAGTCGGAAATCCTTCCTGGTGTTTTCAGAGCATACGAAAGAATTGGGTGTATAGCTAGAGACTTAAATGGTAAAAGTTCAGGAGAAGAGAAAAAAAGAAAAAGCAAAAATCCATCTGCCAGCCCAGACATTTTTATTACTGTAGAACAAAGCCACATTAAAGCAGGAATCCTATGTGCATACACCTATCTAGATGTTCAGAAAACAGAAGTGCAATGTGTAAAAGATGAGGTAACATTTTCTAGTTCAATGAAGTGCATGCTGAATAACACCACCCTAAGCGATGAAATGGCAACATCAACAGCAGAGTTTGGCATCTCGGCAAAGTACTCTGATAAGCTAGAAGTGGATCTGCTAAAGATAGCCGCACTGGAAGAATCAGTTCCAAATCTAGCAATTATGCTATATTTATTGGCAAATCAGGTTCAAGAGTGCATGCTAGTAAATAGGAGCATGCTATATCCTTCTATGGGCACAGAAAAAACAGAAAGTGCTGCAAACTCGCAGAAAAAAGAGCTGCCTGTCTATATAAAAAAATGTTTGATCTCTGGCCTATTTGGAAATAAACCGTGCGCTCTTTCTGTTTCTGATGTTGCAGTAAATGGCGGGTCCGTGGTTATAGATCGAATGGAGCTGATGTGCGACAAAGAGAAGCTTGCAACTTCTACACTTGCACACATCATCGTTAGGAACAACATAGAGATATCATTCTCAAATTCAGAAGTAGCCATCCCGAGTGATGATGAGTTTGTTCTTTCTATATTCAGAGACTCACGAACAATACACATGGCCCTGAAAGAAGCTGCCCGAAAAAAGATAGCAACAAAGAGCATAGAAAGCGATAAAAGCAGCAAAGAAAGTAAGAATGAAGAAGCAGAGACAGCAGAAGTTTCAAATAAGGAGCCGGAAATTGGAGCAAGTAGCGATGGTATAATTAAAATATCGCTTGACAAAGCCAGTGCCAGCATGAAGGGCCCAGGAATTGATCTAATACTGAAAGTAAACGGCCTGTGCATGGAGATATCAGACTCTTCTTTCCAGCTTACGTCATTGAATGCCGCAATACACAATGGAAGTGAAGTGCTGGAAGTGGTCTCGCATGAGCTTATTTACAGGTTTATAGACAGCTCCCTAATAGGCAATTTTACAGGAAATGGGTTTATGGATGTCAACTTGCACGTGTTTTCAGTGAATAGAGTATTCTTTATTCTCCACTGCTACACTATTCTGACAGACCTTCCATGCATAGGGGTGCCTTCAGTGCCAGGCTTATCGCACTTGGAGAATTCTAGAAGTGATGTACAAGAAACTCCTAAAAATGAAAGCGAAATGAGCATCAAAATAGACATAGAGGCCAGCATATATCTAACAAAACAGAACACAATACTCTGCAAACTATCAAGCAATGTCAATCTAAGTATGCTCAAGGGATTGCTCTACCATGGGACAGTGTCTGTCATGAACCCAAAAGTGTGGTCAGACGGTCTGCTCATATGCCACTCGTCAGAGGTGGTGGTGGAGTTTAGAAAAGTGTCGCATCTTCTCAAATCTTTCAACATTCTGATAGACAGAGTGGATGTGCAAGATACAATAGGAGTGTTTCTCGACATATTCGGACAGCTAACCAAGGTAAACTACAATAACAATTCGCCATCTGTAGGAACGGCAATTGACATAAAGTGCAAGATATCAACGATCAACATGAAGTCAGAAAACACAGACGTTATTCTGACAAACTTCGCACTGATCAATTCTTACATGCAGGTAGGATTTATGCTGAAAATATCTGATAAAAAAATATTCGAAATACCGCAGAAGATCACCGTAAGAACAACAGCCACCGAAATGCCAGAGATGCACATTGACATAGAGACGATAGAAACCACCCTGATAGGCCGGCCTGAGATAGAGGGGCTCTTTAGTCTGCAGAACAGGCTTGGCCAGACAAGAGTCCAAAAGTATCCCATAAAAGGAAATAGTCTTTTAAGTATAAAATGTCCATCGATATCTGTAAAAACAAAACACCCTCCTGTGAAGGCTGAGTTGCTGCAGCTCTCAATCACAGCTGTTCAGCTAATAGCCAGCCCCTCAGTAAACTTTGAAGGATCCGCCCTTTGCCGAATGTTTGTGAAGGTTAGAGAGACAAAACAGTACGAAATAATGACAGAAACATTTCCCATTGACATCACCATGCAATCATCAATGCCCCTGCAAAAAGACAAAGCAGGATTCTGCAGTCTACCTTTCAGCGATGCAGAAGACGAGTCGCTGCTAGTTGTCTTTCTTTCTTTCATCGTGAAGGATACGATACGGCTCAGACTCAGCAAAAAAATCATAGAAGCATTCAAACTCTCAGAGAAAAGCATAGATTTGACAAATCTCACGAACAAGCCGATTTTGGTGGATGGCAATGTCTTAGACTCAATGTGCAGCTCGCACGTACGAGACGACACATTCACAGTGCACAGCGAAGATAGACAGGCCATATTCGATCAGTATGTTCCAAATACAAAGAAAGCAGTGCAGGTATCGAGAAACATATTCCTGGCTACTTTCAAAGAGAAGTCAGCTGTTATCAGAGGAGCCACCAATTTCAAAAATATAACGGACACAACGATAGCCATACACATTGATAAGGAAAAGATCTTTCTGCCCCTGTTCTCCGAATGTGCGCATACAACAATACTGACGGGATTCAGCGTGAACATAGAAAATGACCCAAGGTCGTTCTGCAATGTCTCTTTTGAAGTGCCGAGTAAGGCGACAAATGAGCCTATTTCCATAATAGGCATGAGGAGGATAGAGCACAACGACTCGTACATTACTGTGGTGTGTCTTTTTGAGATAGTGTCAAACATTCCAATCCTCCACTACCTGTTCCATCACGACTTTGTGATCAACAATCTCATGCTCACTTCTCTCAACTTCGAGATAAAAATCAGCACAAAGTCCAAAGTGGAAAAAATAGTCGGCGTAGCGCAGTCCTGCGAGATAAAGCAGATGTCAGGGAACATCCAGGCAGAGAAAACAAAGAAAATCAGACTGAGAATCAACGCAGGCGTTGACCTGGTGCTGTTCCCCGATGAGATGGCATCAAAAGTCACCGTATCAAAAGGCGTAGTGGCCGTTAAAGAGCCAAAAACAGTGCTGATTGGCGGATTTCCTGTGGATGTAGGAATCACACAGGTGACAATATATCCCATACTCATCGCGATCAACAAAACACACGACGAGCTGTACATCAAATCAGGAAGTACAGTGTGCGAGATAGCACACAACCAGCAAACTACTCTCCCAACATCCAGGGACAGACACTGCCTGATCTTCTACAAAGTTGAAAGCAACACATTCAGCTCAAAGATCCAGTACAACACAATGTTTCTGGACATCAAGTCAGAATTCCAAAGAAACTACCTCGTAAATATATACCAGGGCGAAGGCTCCAAAGAAAAAATAAAATACATCGTGGTGGAGTACGCAAATGTGATCGAAAACAGAACAGGACTTGATCTAACGATAATAACAGATAGAGAATTCACATGCGGAAGTGGAGAGCTCGTTCCTCTGCACTTCCCAAGGAAGAAGATCAGCACATGGATAAAAATGGGGTCTCCTGCCATAGACTCAGAGCTGGCGCACACGTCAAACTCATCGGAAATATCAGACTACATACTGGATCTGGAAGGATCACCAGATGCGAGCTATCTTCCGCTAGACGGTCTGAAGAAACATTTTGTAAAGCTGAACACCAGCGTAGAAAATGTGTCAATACACGGAATGACTTCTTCTCTTGTCAAAAGTAAGAGCGGTTTGCTCTCCTCTACCTCCCAGGCGGAGTCGAGTGATACGCTCTCCGAAGACGATGGAAAAGAAGAAGAAAGTGAAAAGCTGCAGAAGTACATAAACAACTCCATACTGCTCTCTGTGACCATACAGACACAAAACTCGCAAAGACAGATAATCATTGAAAAAGAGTCTAAGTGGCCGTACCTTATCAAAAATATGACGCAGAGCGAAATGACGTTTTCCCAAAAAGGACATTCGCTGGAGTATATTCTCAAACCAGGCGAAATACTTCCGTACTACTGGGACAGCTTCAAGGCACAGGCTGCCTTCTGCATCACAGTTGACAGCGTAGAAATTCTCGTGGAAAACTTTGCAGTAACCACGGTTGGAGAATACAAAGCCACCCTGACCTCTGAGAGAAGCAGAAAAGTTCTTGTGGTCAGCAAGATGACACACGAAGTGCGAGCAGATACTTCTGACATCCAGGGAACGCTCATCCGCGCGCGAACAGGCAGAGTGTCGATCAGCTTGCTCGATCGGGAAGAGATTGAGTTTTCTGCTCTGCATTTGTTCAATGTCCACCTTATCTCCATGCTCTCTCCCAACGGCCTTGAGTTTATGCTTAAAACAGATAGCTTCCAAATGGACAACCAAGAAATAAAAGGATACTACCACATTCCAGTGCACACGCCCATCCCCTCCGATGTGCTAAGCATATCTGGGTGGATAGTAAACAGGAGTATGATCCGGTATCTGAGCATAGTCATGCTTCCTGTTGTCCTGGAAATAGAAGAGGTGTACATGAAAAAAGTGATCCAACACTTTGTCTCCCTGGGTGAGCCAATTGAAAACCCAAAGTACTTCATTATGTGCAGCACGTGTCTTACCAGCAGATGCAAGTGCACGTACACAAAGCCCATCCCTGACACATCAGCGTATCTATCAATTGGCTATCTCAAGATAGAAGCCGTTAAATTCAAGTGCTCCTTCAGAAGAGCATCGCGTGACTCCATTGTTCCCCTGTCATCTGTTTTCTGCAACATCACCAGCAGCAAAGTGTCACTCCCCAGCGTAGAGCTCTTTGACATACACTCTAGGACCCTGGGAATATGCCAGATAATTGGAAGAATGTACAAACGAGGACTAATCAGAAATATTGTGTCTCTTGTGCTTTCTGCTGACATAGTGGCCAGCCCAGGGGAGCTATTTGATAAGCTAGGTGTAGGTGTTCATGACCTGATATACGCACCGTACCGAGCCATGGATAATCCAGCGCTGCTCTCTAAACAGCTTCTGATAGGAGGCAAGAGTCTAGCTAAGAACGTAGTTACAGGGCTAGCTGGCTTTGTGGGGAATGTCATGGGGAAGTTCTCGCAGAAGCTAGCAGATATCTCCATGGATGAAAACTTTGCAGAAGCCATCAGAGAAACCAGCTGCATCTACATTGATGAGCTCGATCTGGGTCTCCCTGTATCAAAGACGCATCTCTCAAAGGCAGGCGAAAAGTTCATGGGATCAGTCATCAGCGGATTTAAGGGTGTGGTGCACAGCCCCATGCAGGGCAGAAGATCCAATGGAATCAGCGGAATGATGCAGGGGATAGGCAAAGGCCTAGTTGGTGCGATATTTAAGCCTATATCCGGGGCTGTGGGCCTTATGCAGGGCCTCTCCACGAGTATCACTGGTGTCCTGGGATCTGACAAACCGCTGCTCAGGATCCAACTGCCAAGAGCTCCGCCTCTAGATGGCGTTCCGTGCGAGTATGAAGTTGAAAGAAATGCGTACTACAGAGCGTATACTGTCTTGGCTAGGGGTGATGCGAAAAAAGAGGAAGTGTTTTTAACAGGAGGTATCTGCACTAAAAAATACATTGGCTGGTACATTTTAATCACAAGTGCTCGGGTTATATTCTACAACAAAGAAGAAATTCAGGAGATACCAGGCGTGTCCATAGCGCAGCAGTCGGAAAAGAATACGCTGCTGAGCGTGGGGTCGGTAGAAATATACCTAGAGGGGCTGAGAGTGTACAGAGAGCTAGAGAAGTACAGTGCGCTAATGGTTCTGAAAAAAGATCAAGCAGAGAGCTAATCGTCTCTTTAAATTTTATTCGCTTCTATAAGCAGTAATAACTGAAAGTGAATGAACGAATAAACTTTAATATTTTATTTTATTTTTATTGGAGAGCTGGAAAGATTTTTAAGTTCGGTTTAATTTTAATTGTTGTTCCATTTCTAAAGTGTTTATTATTGTTCTTGGGTATTTTTCAATTTTGTTCATCTGTAATTTTCTTCTATTTTCTGCAGCTCAATTATTTATTTATGGAAACAGGAAAGAGGGAGCTGTCCATGGTCAGCAAGTACATAAAGGAAAGGATACAGGAGATAGAGATAGGCATGGAGGTGCGGGAAATAAAAGAGCCAGAGCACGTGCACAATGAATCATTCGAAAGGAACATGCGGAGGAAGATGAGAAAGTCAAAGATAAGAAAAAGAGTAAGAAAAAATTCATCCTGCTCTGATCTGGAGAACAACGATCTGTCGTCTGAAGAAGTAATTACAAACTCGTCAGAGAAAAGCGAGATATCGCTGGAGAGAGGAGAAGAGAGAAGAGATAAACACACAAGAGCAGCAGCACACCATCCAGGAGTATGCCCAGGATCTATAGTAGAAGCCTCGCCAATCCCTTCTTCCAAGAAAATGAAGTGCGGCTGTGTGAGCCATGGGGCTAAAAAAGTGTCTAAAGCTGATTTCTTCTCTTCAGCGGCATATGCCACGCAGTCCTCGAGAAGAAAAAGTATGAATTAGCAGTTATAAATATCTAATAAATTCTGTTGAATTAACACTCTTTTCTTTTTCATTGTCCAAGTAAACAAAACATAATCTAGGAGCTGTTATAGTACAGATAGTCTCTTCAGAGCATTGCGCAATCTTAGCAAAGAAATAAAAGATTTGAGTAATGGCTGAAGAGGTTTGCACAGTATATTAACGATAGAGCATCCATCTCTACAATCTAAAAGAAATCTGCGATAGAAACAAAGTTTTTATTCACTAATAGAGCATATACGATGTCCTGTAGACTGCTGTCTTTCTCATACTAGCTAACTATACTATAATATGTACTCTCCTTTAAAAACTTTTTCAACATCTTCGCCATACCCCATTAAGAAATTATTCTGCTGAACTAGCTCATTGTATATCGATGACAGTTTTGACTCGTGTGCTGACTCCATTCTTATTATCTCCTTTTCCAGCTCCTTTATCTCTTCATTGTTTTTCTGGATCAGGCTCTGCGCATGCTCTCTTTGCTCCATGACTTTTGTGTGTTTCTCTCTTAGCGCCTCAAACTCTCTTTTCAGACCGCTCATTCTCATTTCATCTTCTTCAATAAGAGAAGCCATCTTCTCGATGATGTATGCTATTTTCTTCTCCAGCAAAACTCTTTTCGAGTGCTTTGACTTATTTTCTATTTCCAGCGAGCTGTTCTCACTCTCCAGCCTTTTTACCTGGCTCTGCATCTCGTAGTAGTTGCCATAGTATTCTCCTGCGAGGGAAACCACACACATCAGCGCCTTTAGATCGCCAGTCACTCTCTGGAACATCGCAATGGTGCTGTGCAGCATTGCCACTCTTTTCT